TAAGAAATTATATACTTCTCTATTTTTGTGCTTTTGTTTTTATTCCTGGTCACACCCACAGATACTCAGAGGGTACTCTCAGCCTGCATTTTGGGGTTACTCCTAGAAGTACTTGATGGGGAACCATGTGGTGCTGATGATAGAACCTGAGATGAGCTCACGCTTGGCATGAACGAGATCTCCAGTCTCACTCTCTTTTAATAGGAAAAAAAGATAATTTTATTGAGATAGAGTTCACATACCATATGTAATTTAATGTCTTTTGTTATATCCTTATACTTGTGCAACTTTTACCACAAAAAAAAAACCAGTTCATTATGGTTCATTGTGACTAACTTAGCTTAATGTTTTCAAAATTCACTCCTGTACTATTTATTAGTACTTCATTTAATTGTCATGTAATATTCCATTGCCAAGAGTTATATGTTCATAGTTAGCAAATACTTTGGTTCTGTTTTATTCACAAATTTAGTTTGTTTTATTTTGGGGTTATACCCAGGGGTTCTCAGGGATTACTCTTAGCTCTGTGCCCAGGAATCACTCCTGGCAGGGCTCTAGGGATCATATGGAGTGAAACCGTGTCAAATATATATATGGCAAATGCCCTATCAACTGTAGTATGACTCCTGTCTCCTACCAAATTATTTTTATTCATGTATGCAGTTATTATTTATTTGCTTATATCCTTAACTGCTTTTTAAACGTGCTCATTCTTTTTGCTAAAACATAGTATGCATACACGGTGTGCAGGATGCCTGTGTTCAATCCCTGGCTTTATCTGTGTCTGCACAGTGTTAGGAGTAGCTCCTTAGCTTTTCAGGGAGTGGTCCCCAAACCAAAAAAAATATCATGCTTATTTGACTGAGGAGATAACTCAAAGGACTGGAGTGCAGGTGTTGTATGTATAAGGTAATGGTTCAATCCCTAGCACTGCCTGGTTCCTGAGCAACATCTAGGAGTGATTCCTGAGCACCGAGCTTGAAGTACCCTGAAAAAACTATAGGCTATGACCAAAACAAAACAAATCAAAAGACTCATTTTTTTAAATTAAATTTTTTGCGTGTGTTTGGGCCATACCCGGCTGTGGTCAGGGCTTACTCCTGGCTTCATGCTCAGGGATTAGTCCTGGGAGGTTCAGGGAACCAGATAGAGTACTGAGGATCAAACCCGGTTCACCTGCATGCTAGGCAAATGCCTTACCTGATAAACTGTCACTCTGGCCCCTCTCATGAGTCTTATTTTGGACTCAGAATTTTTTTGCCTTATTTCTTTTAGAAACTAAATAAATTTTAGTATTTTGTTTAGTTATTCTGTAGGTACAATTTCTAATTTGTTTTTCTTAGCTGAAAAATATTTTTTCCTTCAGTCTTGAAAAATAGCTTACCTTAGCACAATTCTTGGGTTGCAGTTATTTATGATTAATCTTTTAAAGATGCTTCATGTCTTCTGGGTTTTGTTACTGCTGTTAAGAAGTTGGCTATTACTATGAAAGTTCTCTCAGGAATAGTCTGCCTTTTCTTTCTGTCTTCTTATTACCTAGTTTTCTAATTGTATTTTCCTATGATGAACTGTAGTCCTGGCTGTGCAACAGTGTGAAATGATAAAGCTGTAAACCCTGAGGGGAAGGGGCTTCATTGTTAGTTTTATTGAGAATAAATACTATATTTGTGTTTTTTTCTACCTGGTCCAGGGCCTGGTACATAATACATTGCTAAGAAAGTTGAGTTACTGCTGAGTTACTTTATTTCACTCGTTTCCTATCAAAACATAGGTTAGAATATGTAAAGATATTTAAATGATGCTGGAAAATATAGGGAATACTGAGAAGTGTTCATTTGTTTAAAAGGCAATGGATAGAGGGGGCCAAGGATGGCTAGTGGTGACGAAAACCTGCTTTACAGCCCAGAATCGTGGGTTCAATCTGTAATGCTGCCTGTGTGTACTGAGGACAGTCCTGGAAGCTCTGTTGTTTGGGATTTCCTGATGGTACCAGAGTGTGCAATCTCTAGTGAGCACTGCATCTCAAAATGGTGCAAGCATTGTAGCAACAACTTGCAAGCTCTGCTACTACAATGTATGCTGCATCACAAATAAATGAATGACTCCTGGAGAGCACATGTCCAAGCTTTGCATATAAAGTATGTGACCCCTGACTAACACCTCAGCCAAGTATGTAATTATCATAGCCAGATGTATGAACCCCACTTCTCTCCCCCACCAGACATTTGCAACAAAAGCATCAGCAAAGGGAAAGGAAGTGGAAAAAATGAGTGTGGGTTACATGTGGCATAAAAATGTTTTCCTCTCCCCATACGATATATGATGATGACAATAGCATGAAAGGTAAAAAGGAATAGTATTTTGATGTTTTATGTCTTGATGATTAATTGTTATAGATTTGAGATAACATTTTCATTTAAAATTAGAAAATATTTCATAATTTTTAATATTGATGCATTTTATTAAAATATTTTAGATAATTTTTTGCAGTTATGTAACTTTCTGATGACTTTTTTAAAAAAAGCTCAGGTCTTTTTATTTACTAGTACATTTAATTTGAGGCCATATCCAGTGGTACTCAGGGCTTACTCCTGCCTCTACACTCAAGGATCACTCTTAGGACCATATGGGGTTCTGGGGTGGAATGTGGGTCAGCTGCATGTAAGGCAAGCACCTTATCCACTGTACTGTCTCTCCAGCTCTCTGATTATTTCAAGGTTGGGATTTTGTTCAGAATTCAGAAATATTACCTTAAATATAATTCACTTGTATATTAGGTTTTGTGATGTTCTTTATATTTTTTTTCCCCTAGCAATTGAAACTTGTCTGAAACTGTTATCTGCTGTGTGCAGTCTGTGAATGCTGAGGTCTAGTTTGTGAAAGGACTACTCTTTATTGGTTTCAGATTTCGCTGTTGTAACATCTATATGCAGACCCAGTGCCATCACAATAACTTGTATTTGGAGATTTTTATTGTAATAAAGGAACTATAATAAAGGAATTATAATAAGTGTAATTAAGAAACTGCATTGTATCTACCTCTAATTGTTCGGTTAGGAAAAATAACATAATTTTAATGTGTGAGATCATTGAAGTCATAATTTTATGAATTATCTTTGTCTAAATGCCCCCTTTTTCATATTATATGTACAGTGAAATAGACTGTTCATGCATTTTTGTTGTGTATTTATGTGCATATGTGTGTGAATAAATTAAGCTTTATTCTTACTTTTGATTGACAGTAATGAATTCTGAATGTTATGATAAATCAGATAGCACTCTATCTGTGATGATTTATCAGGATTTTTTAATCTTTCACAGACCACCTTAAGAACTGCAGTTAGAGCCAGGGAGAATGATGTTATAGTAAAAGAACAGCAGAACAATTTATTAAAAAGTGTTATTTCCTATATCCCCTTTTTATATACTGGTTTGTATATTATTTTGATTTTGTATGTTAGAGTTTGGATGAAAGACTTTTAGAATTCAGTTTTATCTTATTAACAGTATGTATTTTTAAAATTTGTAGCAGTAAACACTAAATTAAGGTTCAGTTGATTTATATTAACAATTGTTGATTTTCCGTGCATTTTGGAAGTGTTTGACCTAGTGAAGGTAGTTAGGAATGTAGCTGATTAACAAATGTAAGTATTAGTCAGGACTAGGAGTCTCTGGTCTCAGAGGTTTTGGCTGTGCCATGGAAAGTGAGACAGTCACCATATTCATATTTGGTAATAGTGTTCTCTTGAGATATTACAAACTCTTTGAGGTCAGAAAAAACATTTTTGCAGAAGTTTTAAAGTTATACTTCTTGAAAAGTTAAAAAAAGCATACAGAATAAAATGTGAAGGCATATTTCTGCTTTTTTCCTTTCTTCACCATGTAAGGGTAGCCTTTATTTTGGGAACTTCCTTCTAGATTGTCTGTTCAAGATTGGAGAACAACCCCAGTATGGAGATATTTTATTTTAAAGCATAGTAATTAGATAAATAAAATATATACAACTAACTTATTATCCAGTCATTTCTCATCTGCAAGTAGATGATAAAAAACATATACTTTGTTTCCATGTTTTTCAGAAAATAATGTTTGGAAATATATTTGATTATAGCTAATGCTCCTCTTATTTTGATAGAAAGCTTCAGAAAAACTTGTTTTCACCTTCTCAAAGCTATGTTCAGATTTCTTTCTTTCTTTCTTTTTTTTTTTTGTGTGTGTATTTTGGGCCATGCCTGGTAGGTACTCAGGGCTTACTCCTGATTCTATGCTCAGGAATCACTCCTGGCAGGGTACTAGGGATGATATATACTGCTAGGATGGAACCTGGGTTGGCCATGCACAAGGTCAGCTGCTGTACTATTGCTCTGAAGCGGGTCTGGAGCTATAGCAACAGCGGTAGGGCATTTGCCTTGCACGCAGCCAACATGGCCAACCCGAGTTCGATCCCTTTGCCCCTCTTGGAGAGCCCGGCAAGCTACAGAGAGTATCTCGCCCGCACGGCAGAGCCTGGCAAGCTCCCTGTGACGTATTCAATATGCCAAACACAGTAACAACAAAGTCTCCAATGGAGACGTTACTGGGCCCGCTCGAGCAAATTGATGATCAACGGGAGGGCCTTTTACCATTTTTTACCCTTTTTTAACTATTGCTCTAGACCCCATATTCAGGTATTTTTATACATCACCTTATTTTTTACCCTTTTTATTCCTACTGGGCTGGAGTGATAGCACAGCAGGTAGGATGTTTGCCTTGCACGTGGCTGACCCGGGTTTGACTCCTCCACTCTTGGAGAGCCTGACAAGTTACCAAGAGTATCTCGCCCGCACGGCAAAGCCTGGCAAGCTACCTATGACATATTTGATATGCCAAAAACAGTAACAAGTCTCACAATTTGTTCTGGGACGTTACTAGTGCCTGCTCAAGCAAAGCAAATCGTTGAACAATGGGAGGACAGTGCTACAGTGCTAGATTGCTACTAATTTAGCCTTTTTTTTTTCCAGATCATTCAACTTCAAGTGGCACATTGTCTTTTAAACCTAGTCGATCAATGGTTGCTCTTCCTACTGCTCATGTCATGCCATCTAATTCCAGCTCTTCAGCTTCCAAACATAGAGAATTACTGGTATCTGATGACTCAAAATGGAGTACCACCCTCATGCAGACATTTGGAAGCTTCAGTAGGGGGGAACAGGATTCATCACTAGATATGAAGGATTTTCGGCCCCTCCGGAAGTGGTCATCATTATCCAAACTCACTGCCTCTGATAACTGCAGCCAGAGTGGCATCATGCACACAGAAGAGTCAAGAAGTAGTTTGGGAAAGGCAGGGAGAGGCAAGGCCTCTACATCACAAATAAGGACAACTGGGCCTACCTGCTTACATGATAGTATGGAAATGCTTAAGCTGGAGGACAAGGAAATAAATAAAAAACGATCATCAACATTGGATTGCAAATATAAATTTGAGAGCTGTAGCAAAGAGAGCATTAGAGCCTCTCCCTGTGCACTTAGGAGACAAACCGTAGACATGACTTTTAGTGCCTTACCGGAAAGCAAACCCGTTATGACAAGCTCACAGGCTTTTGAACCTCCAAAATACTTAATGCTTGGTCAGCAAGCAGTAGGTGGAGTTCCTATTCAGCCTTCTGTGAGAACACAGATGTGGCTGACAGAGCAGTTGCGGACAAACCCTTTGGAAGGTCGAACTACAGAGGACTCTTACAGTTTAGCTCCTTGGCAGCAGCAACCAATTGAAGAACTTAGACCAGAAAGTGAACCACCAATGCAGGTAAGATTCAGAATCTGGTGTTTGCCTCCCTCCAGTGGATGCTGGTTATATAGCACACTTCATGTAAGTGTTGCACATAACTGGATTGTTTGGCTTTTCCTTTTCCCTGCCATAAACTTACACGTTCTAAACTTAAAAAAATTACTAGAATGAAAGTAATTTGAAACTAATTAGTAAAAAGTTTAAAAACCTTGCTCCTAGTTTGGGTGTTAATTTCTTTCTCATTTGTAAAGTGGAAATAAAAGTAACCAAAATGTCCTCAGTCGAAGAAAACATGGAAGGAGGTGTATTGGTATAATGGGAAGATCATTGAGTGGGGGAGAATAAATTCTTGAATTGTTTCTGGTTTATCAGACTCTGAACCTGTGTAATTCTCTGTCACTTTATATTTAAAAATAGTATCTGGGCTATGTGTCTTCATCTGTGAAATGACAAGATGGGACTGAAGTCATTTATAAAGTTTTGGTAATGACTGATATTCAGGTTTATAGAGTAGATGTGATATTAAAAAAACAAAGGTTGGAACTTGAGAACTCGAGAGATAGTACAGACGTTATGGCTCTTGCATGCAACTGTGGCTGTGACAGTGGTTCAAATCCCATTCCTATACATGGCCTCTGAACATAGCCAGGAGAGGCTTCTACCTCCAGAAAAAATTATTGAGTGTCAAGATTTTGTTAATCAGTTTAAGGAATGTACCTTATGATACATAAAAAATTAGTATGTACTCTCTAATATAACAAACATAAATTTCTTGGTCTGGAAAATATTTTTTATTCTAATTTTCTACAGTTCCTTTTATCCCTAGATTTATTTATGTTTGTTTTGAGGCCACACCTGCCAGGAATTTGCTTTGCGCTCAGAAATCACTCCTGGTGGGGCTCCAGGGACCCTATGTGGTGCTGGGAATCGAAATGGGCTTGGCCATGTGCAAGGCAAGCACGCTACATTCTGTGCTCTTTCTCTGGTCTATAGAATTTTAATAAATACCATCATCTATTTTATTATCAATTTTTTCTGAAATATCCTTTCACAGTAAGAAAATTTCCCTAGAGTGAAAATTTAAAATTAGTATTCCTATTACTATTAATTAAAAGTAACAAAGATTCAAATAATATATTCTATGAAAGTATAAGGAAATCATGTATTTGTGATAAAATCATCTTTTAATAGATTATACATGATAAAATAGATCAGATTGACAGAGACTATACCAGATCAGAGTCTAATGTACTGTATTCACTAGAGAATGTTGAATATATTTATGTGCCTTTGATTATGTACATCTATATCATATAATCAGACAGAATTGTCATTGTGATCTGCAAATTAGAAATCAAAAAAAGAGAATTGAACCATATATATTTGTGAGTTTCCAATTAAAGTGATTGAAAGATAAGAATCCTGTTTTATTAAACGCTGTCATTTCAGTTTTCAAGTGTTTGTCATGATAGGAGAGAAGGTATCTGGCAGTGGTTTCTCAGTCAGTGTGTTTATTCAGAACTGAAGGCGCTGAGGATTTAATGCCAGTCTGAAATAGGTATCATAGTACGGCAAATCACGCAATTGGGTGAATTTAAAAGCATGCTGGTTCATTTATTTTATTTTGCTTGGAGGAACTTTTGCTGTAAAGAAAGTCGCCCCCCCCAACTTTGAAACAAGGTGAAGAGGTAGTTAATTTGAGGTACACTGTAAAGCAAATAAATTGTCTGAGTACATGATTGAGAATGAAGAATGCTCTGAGGAGAAAATTTTGCATGGACTCTAGAAAGCCTTGCTTTTTTTTGATTAATTTTAGCTGTGATTTATTTATAATACCCCTTTTTTTGTTTTTATTTTGGGACCACAGTGGCCATACTGGGCTGGGGCACTAGCACAGCAGGTAAGGTATTTGCCTTGCACGCGGCAACCTGAGTTCGATTCCTCCATCCCTCTTGGAGAGCACAGCAGGCTACCAAGAGTATCCCGCCTGCACGGCAGAGCCTGGAAAGCTCCCTGTGTCTTATTTGATATGCCAAAAACAGTAACAACAAGTCTCACAATGGAGACGTTACTGGTCCCTGCTTGAGCAAATCGATGAACAATGGGGAGGACAGTGCTACAGTGCTATGGTGCAATGGCCATACTTGGGTTACTCCTGACTCGGTGTTTGGGGTTATCCCAGAAGTGTTCTATATATAGAACCTGGAACTTCCATATGCAGAGCATGAGCTTTAGTCCTTATGGCTATTTCTACCCTATGAAAGTGCATTTAAGTTTTGTTTTTTCAGCCACACCTGGGTGTGCTCGGGGCTTACTCCTAGCTCTGCTCAGTGATTCCTTACTGACAGAGTTGTATGGGGGACCATATGCAATACTAGGGATCAAATCAGGATTGGCTGCATGCAAGGCAAGTACCTTAACCTCTGTACTATTTCTCCATTGCTTAAATTTTATTTGGGGCTCAGGGACCCACTCAACAATGCTCAGGGGTTATTCCCGGCTCTGTACTCTGGGGATCAAATCTATTAGTCACATGCAATGTCCCTACCTGCTGTATTACTTCTTCAGTTCTCAGCCTGTACATTTTAAATTAGATATTAAACTGGTAAAGAATATATATTTTGGTGGAGATGTTTAAATGACTGTTTCTCTTCTTATTCACATTTTGTCTTGGAGTATTTCAGGACAAAAATGGTTAAATACCTTCATCTTGTAGCTTCTAAGTACTATCGTTTAAAGCTCTTATATTAGGGTATTTTTGTTTTGTTTCATTTGTTTAAGAAGTCACTTTAAAACATTGAATTCTTCTTAGTCTAATTTTCACAGAGAGGGAAAATCCTTAATAAAAATGAAGGAATATATGATTTTTCAAGCACAGCTGAAAAACTGACTTACCATGAAAAACCCTCTTTTACAACTATGGAATTTGGATAAAATTTTAATTTAGTACCAGCAAAGAACTTTGTAAATCTTAAGTTTTTTTAAAATCTCATTTGCTTCTAACATTTGCCTTGTCTTTTCTCTCTCAAAAGATATTTTGTACTATGGAAGTTTATCTCTTAGGACTATGTCCAGAATAATTACCGAGCCAATCTGAGTCCTATGCGCACAATATTCTTTGATTGCCATGATTTCCTGCTAAACTAGCTAAAGTACAGGATAGTGTTATACTCTGAAGCATTTTTCTTTGTGAATGAAGGGAAGTCATTTGTGGCCTTAGTTAGGATGTAGGCCATTTAGCACAATGCCTACACTATTTTTGGTTCTTTCCAGTTTACAACAGCAGCCATTATATTTATTTAACTACTGTATATCACTGCTCTCTTACCTAATCCAAAAACTGGCTAAATCCTCCGGATTCTAAGATCTATGATGAAAAAAAAAGCAAATAGCTTTCTTCTTGAGAAGAGGTGTCTGGGGTAGTTTTCCATGTCCCTCTTGATTTTGTTTTATTTTCGTGTGTGTGTGTGTGTGTGTGTGTGTGTTTGTGTGTTGGGGGGTGGTAGGGGTAGGATGGGGTGGGGAGTATAGAGGAATGGGAAGGGAGAGTACACACTTCAGTTTACAACAGCAGCCATATTTATTTAACCTTATAGTGACTTTCCCTGACAGTAGAAAAGATGCAGTCTTTTTGACAGTTTTTTGTCTTTTTTTTTTTTTTTTTGCCACAGCCCTTAGTACTAAGGGCTTACTCTAAGCTACTGTGTTTAGTGTTTAGGAATCATTTTAGGGAGGGCTCAGGGGACCATATTTAGTGCTAGGAATCAAACCTAGGTCAATTCTCAACTGTATGCAAGGCACACAGTGCAAATCCTATATTATCTGGTCCCATTTATCATGTTGTTTTGTTTTGTGCTCAGGAATTGGTGGTTGGAGGAACACATGAGGGTATTGGAGATAGAACTGGGTTGGCTGTGTGCAAAGCAAACACCCTACTCACTGTTCTTTCTCCATCTCCTCCTTTACATTTATCTTTTTAAATTGTATTTCCTTGGATGTTTCAAGTTCAGAGTTGTAATTATTGAAGAAAGGAAGATTGGGGCTAGAGAGACTACAGGTGTTGAGGTTCTTGCCTTGTGGTATAGCTAGCCCTAAGCACCTCATATGGCCTCTCCCTCAACCTGCATAGCACTGCCTGGAGTTACCCTTGAGCTCAGCCCGGTATAACTCCAGAATACTTTTGTGTATGACTCAACCAGAATCCCACAAAAAGAGGAAGTTGAAAATTTTGCACCTAGTTAAATCATGGAGTAACATATCAACAAAAATTTTGGCATCTATTGAACTTATTGCAAGTATTTTACTGGGTGATTTGTTTTATATATGAAAAATATAAAATTTGAAAAGTAGGTTTAGTTTTCATTATTTTTTAACATGATATATGAAATGTATTTCAAACATGAAGTATTTTATTATTAAATGTAAAATCATCTGAAAAGGAAGTTTTTACTTTTATTTCATTTTGACAAGTATTTTTTTAGAGATCCATATAATTTCTACTGGAAGATGTAGGTGCTGACATTTTCAGAAAATGGGCTATGACGTTATTACATACTCAATAGGTATCTATAAAGGGCATAGCACTGATTTTTGTATACATATTGTATAATATAATTGGTATTGTGTTTCAGCTTTCCTGTATCATTTTGGTGTATAACTTTTAGAATTTTTGTTTGTTTTAGTTTTGTGGCCACAGCTTGCCATGTTTCAGGCTTACTTCTGACTCTGAGTTCAGGAATCACTCCTGTCAGTGCTTAGGGGACTATATGAGGTGCTAGATATTGAGCCTGGGTTTGCTGTGTGCAAAGAAAGTTTCTAACTCCTCTGTTCATTCACTATGGGTAACTTTTAGGCATTTTAAAGCGTGATGTTACTTTAAGAGATGAGTAGATTTTGTTAAAAAATGTATTATTTTCCTGTTTTGCCAGAAGATGAAAAGATCAATTTAAAAGATTAATTTCTAGGTAGTGGGAAATTCATTACTTTATGTTGGTCTGCCCTCTTGTGTCCAAGCTAGGAAATCTTGATCAGATTTAATTTGGGGAAAGTCTGAAAACAACCCACTGAATCAAAAGTAGTTATACTTAGCTTGTCCTATGGCCATATTAATTATGAGTGAATTTTATAGGGCAATTTAACTGATATCAGGGGATATCTGGATCTTGACCTTTTTAATACACGCACATACATACTTTGCATTGGACAAATGTTTTTAACACAGATATAAACGATAATACTAAATGTTGAAAAATAAATTCATTTTTAGGGGCCTGAGAGACAATAGTGAGATGAAGGTACTTGCTTGCTTATGTTTGAATAGCACAAGTGGTAAAGTGGTTGCCTACATGTGACTGACACTGTTCCATCACTGGCCCCACATTTGGTTTCCCTGAGCATTGTCATAAATCACTCCTGTGCATAGAGCCATGACTAACCCCTGATCACTTTGGAGTGTCGTGCCCCACAATTTAATTTATTTTAAGCACCCTGTAAATTAGATTTTATTTTAAAGTAAAAAGCATTTGAGCAACAGTATTTTAATTTTTATTATGTTTTATTATAATTTAATCTTTACACATCAGGATAAATAGTAAGTTCCATTAAAAGAATGAGTTTTTATTCTATGTGATCATCTGAGTTGCAGTATTCTATAATCCATAAGTATGTAGTTAAAATTTCTATTAAAGGCAGAATGAAAGCAAAAATATTATTTCAGTTTTACTTAGAAAAAAATCATTTCTTCACAGTTTATAGTGTGAAACTGATGTTGTAATGAGAACATTGTGATGAAAGAAACAATTTATATCAAAATTTCCACTTATTTTTAAGACCGGTACAGCTAATTGAGGTTTTTTTTTTAGTGTTATTAGGGCTCTCTACCCATAAATGAGGCTTTGCGTAAGAAATTCTCATGCCAGTATGAGACACCTCTTCCCTCTTTGATATCTATGGGCCAGCACTGTCTGGTTCCTTACCTCTAGTACCTCTGAGAAATTCAGAAAAAAAATTAAAACAATGTCTCCTTTACTATTCTGATAACAGCAGTTTTGTTGCAAATTAAGGTCAGTATTGATTTTAAAATTCTTTTTTAATTATTACTATGTAAATGTAACTGAAGTCAAAATTGAATTATAGAATGGAGGAATGAATGATCTTAGATTTTACTTTATTTATTTATTAAATAAATAAAACATGAAAATAAAATAAAATTGGGGGCAAATGACAAATACATTATTTTAGAATTTAAAATGTCTGAATACAGTATTTTTTTTTAATGTAGGAGTACTGCTATTTATTCAGCCACTGATTAGCTGATTGAATTGTGCATGAACTCCACCTTCCTTTTTTTTTCATTTTTTATAATTTTATTTATTGAATCACCATGAGAGCAGTTACAAAGCTTTCAGGTCTAAGTCTCGGTCATGCAATGAAACACCCGTACCTTCACCAGTGCCCATTCTCCACCACCAAAAACCCCAGTATACCCCACCCCACACCCTCCCCCTACTTGTTGGGGCAGATGATTTCCACATTACTCTCTCTCTACTCTGATCATATTCAATATTTCATCACCAGACCCACCATTATTATTTGAGATTTTACCCCAGCACTCAGATCTGCTGAAAAGGCAACAGTAGACAATTTGTGTTTTATTGCTGGTTATGAATAACATATGATGTCGCGTGGCTGCAGTGGAGCCATGTGATTTTGAAATTCCGAAATTTTAACACTTAACTCTGGAGGGATTTCTGCCAAAAGCCACTGGGTTTCGATATTTGCTCCTGAGTCTCTGGGATCATGATCATTGAGCAGCTTGATGAGGAGCCAGAGAGGCCGTTTGTGGGCGATGACTTGGGGTCTCGTTGGGATGGGGAGACCAGGACCGGCCTCACCTCCATCCTGTAAGGTCTCGTTGGGAAGGGGAGAATAGGACTGGCTCCACCCCCATCCCGTGAGGCCCAACAAGTTTCGTCACTGCAGGCCCAGACCTGACTGTCCAATGACCTCTGGAGGATGATGGCCACTGAGCCGCCAAGGGGGAGCAGGCGGAGGGACAACACCCTTTCCCCCCTGGGGTGGCCCGGCAACAGTAACCTTCTGCAGGGTCCGGACGTATTTCTGCCAAAAGCCGCTGGGTTTTGAGATTTGTTTCTGAGTCTCTAGGATCATGGCCATTAAGCATCTTGATCAGGAGCCAGAGAGGCTGTTCATGGGCGATGACTTGGGGTCTCGTTGGGGTGGGGAGGACAGGCCCGGTCTCCCTCCCCCCCCCCCCCCATCCTGTGAGGCCCAACAAGTTTCATCACTGCGGGCCCAAGCCTGGCTGTCCTATGGCCTCTGGAGGATGACGGCCACTGAGCCGCCAAGGGGGAGCAGGTGGAGTGACAACGACCTTTCCTCCCTGGGGTGGCCTGGTGACAGTAACGTACTGTGGGGTCAGGACACATTTCTGCCAAAAGCCACTGGGTTTCGAGATTTGTTTCTGAGTCTCTGGGATCATGGCCATTAAGCAGCTTGATCAGGAGCCAGAGAGGCCGTTCATGGGCGATGACTTGGGGTCTCATTGGGGTGGGGAGGACAGGCCCGGCTTCCCCCACATCCCGTGAGGCCCTGCGTGTCTGGTCACTGGGGGCCCAAACCTGACTGTCTAGTGGCTTCTGAAGGATGGTGGCCACCGGACCGTCCGGGGGAACAGGCCAAGGCACAAAACCTATTCCCACCTGGGTTAGCCCAGCACCGGTAATCTACTGCAGGGACCGGACGCATTTTTGCCAAAAGCTGCTGGGTTTCGAGATTTGTTTCTGAGTCTCTGGAATCATGTCCATTAAACAGTTCAATCAGGGACAAGAGAGGCCATGCCTCCAATTATATAGTTGAATTGGAGGTGGTTTGTGGGTTTGTTTCCCACATACCTAACTTTTGGCCATTTACTTTCTTGGTATAGCACAGCGGTAGGGCATTTGCCTTGCACGCAGCCAACATGGCCGACCCGAGTTCGATTCCTCTGCCCCTCTTGGAGAGCCCGGCAAGCTACTGAGAGTATCTCGCCCGCACGGCAGAGCCTGGCAAGCTCCCCGAGACGTATTCAATATGCCAAACACAGTAACAACAAAAGTCTCCAATGGAGACGTTACTGGGCCCGCTCGAGCAAATCGATGAACAACAGGTGGACAGTGACAAGTGACAGTGACTTTTTTGGTAAACTTTGCCTCAAGTTTTTGGGGTCTGGCCAAAGGCACAGCAGCAATATTGGGGTATCTGGAAGTCTGAAGGCGCCATGAGGCTGCTGATGCACTCGCCTCACAGGTACAGACTGACCTGCTGGCGGCACCATACCCCCTTGATCTTAGATTTTAAATGGACTCAACTTATATTTAAATTTTGGTGAATTGAACATAAATTATTGATTATTCTAATGAGTTCTTGAAGACATTTTCAATAACCAGAGCAAATATTTTGCAAAATAATTGATAGATTGACTTTCCTGAATCTTCTTTATAGTAGAATTGCAGACTTCCCTTTTAAATAGATGTTTATTTTCTGGTTGATAGAGTAAGGAAACTTGCTGATTACTATCATAAATAACTGTAGAACAGGCAGTTCATTTCAAAATTTAATGAAAAAATTAATTTTGAGAGAAAATTCAATTTTAATTTTCTCAATGGTGGAAACAGTTTTTATTTTTATTTTTTAACTTGCTATATTGTGAAGCTAGAAGATAACTTATATAAAATCACTCTAAAGTCTTAAGATTTTGTGATTTTATAGCAAAATTTCAACAAGTACTTGATAATTGATAATTATAACTGGGCACTATTAGATGTTAAATGAACACTTCTCACCTGTTGATCATAATATCCTAAAGAAAATAAATACTTGGTTTACCTCCATGTACTAGAATTCTTTATTTTTTAGTGGGGGCAAACCCAGCTGTGCTCAGGGCTTACTTCTGGCTCTGTGCTCAGGGATCACACCTGTTAGGACTGGAGGAGTCATATTTGGAGCTGGGGATCAAACCTAGTTTGGCTTCAAGGTGCACGTAGTAATATTTCTCTGGTCCCTAGAATTTTGTAATTCTTTGAAGACATTAAAGCTTAGAAAATTTTATTTATATAATAATAATTGTGGAAAAATTTATTTTAGCTACTTGATTTTCATAAACATTTAAACGTGTTAGTAGAGAAAAGGTATAATTTCTATTTTATAATGTAGGTATTGATTGAAGATTTATTATAATAGAGATAATGGATGTGATGAGTTGGGATATTTCAAATTATGATATGTCACTTGAATAAATGTTTTGATAGTTGGTAAAGACCTGACATATAATAAATATCAAGGAAGCTTTTACAATACTATCTAGGTTACATTTATCCAAAAGAGTGATGCTAATACTGTGTGTATGAAGCAAAGTTTATCAGTGAAATTTAAAAAGCAAACTAATTCATCCTTAGAAAAGATTTGGGATAGGAGCTTGTAAGCTGTTTTGAAGAAGTTAACACTTACACTATGCACACTAATAGTCATTTAAAAGTTAATTTAGGGAAGCAAAGTTTTCATACAAGATCCAGCAGATGAACACATTTTCTAACAAATTGTTTTCTCATGAATCTTCACAAGGAGATTTTTCTTCCGCTTAGGAAGTGGTCTTTTATGTAGCATTGTTTTTCTTTCTTCATTGAATGCCAGATTTTTCTGTTGGTGGTGATAAATTGCAAACTTGAGTTACTGCAGAGCTTTAGAGAAGCATCACGATGATGCAGATCAGCAAGAGACATATTAAGATGAGACAGAAATTGACAAACAGGTTCTGGAGATTTTGACGTGCTTGTTGAGGCATTTCAATGGTTGATGCTCTTCTTATAGCAGAGCGAGTGAGGTATTGGACTTTCTCCATCACGCCAGGAAGTGTGAGGTTTTAATGGTCAAGAGAAAGATAAGCGGGCAGTCAAATCTGATATTATTGATGTCTTTTAGATAACCTAGAATGTAAAAAAACAGTAAATGGAATAGGATCATGTGTAACCTATTCTCTGACTAGGTAAAACACAATTTTGTGTTATATTTGGATAATTATAATTAGATAACTCCTGCACATTTGTTTGTGAAATCAAGGATCCCTAGAATCTGTGTGAGCATATGTGCACACATACATATTTCTTTGTCTCTGTTTTAGAGGGTCGCTGTAAATACTGTTTGCAGTGAAACCACAGTCTATTCCTCTCAAAATAATTAGAGGTGTAGAGTACATTTTGCGGTGCAGTCTTTGGGTAACAGTTGCTACCTATAGTTTCATTATGACTTTTTCCAGAGCATGAAAATTTTGAAAATGTATTACTATTTCCAGAGTGTGTTATGAAAGAAATATATATAGTAAATTTTCTCTGCATGTTGATTTTGACTAGAGTATGGTTTAGGAGTTCTCCAGAACTACAAGTTCAAATATCTTTCCTTTTTTAATTTTACAGTTTTATAGAATATGCTATTTAAAATTTTAGGAAGACTTAATACTGAAGAATATGAGAGTCAAGAATGTATAGTACTAAAATGATCATTTCGCTATGTCTAGACTGCCAAAGGCATTTTCTATTTGAAGACTATGAGGCTCAAGAAGGCATAGTACTGGGCCTCGAGCAATAGGACAGCGGGTAAGGTGTTTGCCTTGCATACGGCCGTCCCAGGTTCGATTCCCAGCATCCCATATGGTCCCCTGCAGGGCCAGGGGTGATTCCTCAGTGCAGAACCAGGAGTAACCCCTGTGCATCGCCAGGTATGACCCAAAAAGAAAAAAAAAAAGAAGGCATAGTACTGAAAAGAACATTTCACTATCTCAAGACTGCCATAGATATTTCCTGTTTACAGTAACCTATATTTAAGGGTAGTGATTTTCATTTGCCCTCTTTTAGAGTTCCCATAACGATTCTTTCTAATTAATATCTTAGTAATCTATGCCAATAAAGCAAGATAAAATGAAAAATTGCAAGTCATTATAAAGAAATTGAATAACAGATGAAAAATTAACTATAATTATCCAGAATTAATAGCTATTAACATTTTTGAATAGATTTTTGTTGATGAGAATACTTTTTATGCTTTTTTGAAAGAGAATTACAAATGGAATAAAAAATGAAACAGTTGTTCAGAGATAACAGCTGTTAATATTTATTGATTTTATAAATAATAAATTGTTCTAATCAGTCAGGATGTAACTACCTACCATATTCCAGGGGCCAGATTTTATTTTCTCTGTGGTCCTTATTATCTCATGAAATCCTATTATATCCTGTTAACTCTGTTTCTAAGAGACCAGTGCTCAAGAAAGTAGTACTGAAAGAACAGACAAGTTACACTAAATATGATCAACTAAAGCTTGGTATTTACTGTTACAAGGAAACCTTATGGCTTAGGTTAGCTGCTGTAGTTTCAGTACTTTAACTTGTAACTAGGTAAGTTTTGGATTATATAACAGACTGGGCTTTCTTTTGGTGAGTCTGGTCTTCTTCACAATACTGGTTTCTAGTAAGAAGATCCAAGCAGCCAAGTTACATCAAATGTCATCTCTTAAAAATTTGGTAATATACTTAGGTTCTTCAGTATATATAGATTCATCTAGCATGTATTTTTCATTGTCCAACACAAAAACACTAAAAACTTTATTTATAACTATGTAGAAAACAATAGCGTATACTTCATCTAGATAATTTTTTGTTTAAATTCCTCATTGCTATATTTTGTATTCCTGTTAGACTCCAGAAATAAAGAATTCTTAATTTATCTTTTAAGCCGTTAGTATATAAACTCAGTAGAAAGTTCAGTGGAATGCTACTCTGTCATTAGAAAGATGAAAATGTGCCTTTTGAGACAAAAGGGAAGAAGTGAGAGTATTCGATATGCCAGACACAGTAACAACAAAGTCTCCAATGGAGACGTTACTGGGCCCGCTCGAGCAAATCGAGATGATTGTAATAAGTGAAATAGTAAATGAGCAACTATTCTTGGTTGGTTTTACACATATAAAATATGAATTACTAAAGCAAATGAACTGTTACAACAAAACTAACTTCTAAACTCAGTGAACAATGGTGATTACCAGAGGAAAAGGTCAGGTAAGGTGGAATGGATAAGCAGATCCTTCTGGTGTGATTGGAATTTTGGTAGGAGTGCTGACAATTACAGACTGAATTACAATTACAGCACAGAAACTAAACCCCTTAAACTAAATCCCATGCTTATAAAAACAAGTATAAGTTAATGAAAAAGAATTTTTGAAAAGGATGTCACCTCTTGACCTCCCCACCCTCTGTTTTTGAAGTGCTATGTATTGAACTCATGAAGACCCTTAGAATGAAAGGCATAGGCTCTGTCACTGAGTTATGAAAATACCCAAGATAATGTTCCTTTAAGCTAATTTTGCTTTCATTTACTTCTCGTAGAGTGAGTTTGAGGGCTGGAACGATAGCACAGCGGGTAGGGTGGTTGCCTTGCACTTGGCTGACCAAGCGACCCATGTTCGATTTCTCTGCCCATCTCGGAGAGTCCAGCAAACTACCGAGGGTATCTTGCCCGCACGGCAAAGCCTGGCAAGGTCCCCATGTCATATCTGATATGCCAAACACAGTAACAATAAGTCTCACAATGGAGACATTACTGGGCCCGCTTGAACAAATCGATGAACAACTGGAGGAGAGTGCTACAGTGCTGTTGAGTGAGTTTGTACAAATTGGGGAGGAGGGTGATAAAAAAGATTTCCTCTGTATGTTTAGTAAGTTTATATAAGGATATATAAAATACAGTTAAGAAAGAAATATGATATGACACCTCAGTAAAAATATATTAAGAAAGAAATAAACATAAATAATAAAAACAATTAAAAAACTTAAAAAGAAAGGAACAGGAGGGCTAGAGAGATAGCCCAAAGTGCTATCACACTGAGTCTTGATCATCAGTGCATGGTCCCTAGTACTGCTGGGAGGACACCCCAGCACAGAAAGAAGTAGTCTCTGAGTACCACTTGGTGGGGTCCTGAAAACAAAGATATAAGGATTAATATTTTAAAACTCCTGTTTGAACTTAAATTGTCCTCATGTTCCAGTACTTCAAATGTTCTAAAAACTGAATTTAGAAATGAATTATTTGATGAAGAATGGTAAAAGAGGAAGTTGTGGACAGAGAGATAGTATAGCTGGTAAAGAGTTTGCCGTGTTCAGTGCCAGCATGGTTCGATCCCTGGCACTACATGTGGTCCCTTGAACCCTGCCAGAAGTGATCCTTGAGATCCGAGCCAGGGGTAAGGCCTGAGCACTGCTGAGTGTAGCCCCCGAAACAAAAACAAAAAAGGAAGAAAGGGAAGTTAACCATTTGTTCATGATGAACACAGAAGAGTCATTTCCTATCCTGACACTAATGAGTTATAATTGAGTTACTCACTCAAACTTTGCCACGTTTCCATTAGTGCACATTCCCTTTTATGATTCTGTCTTCTGCAAGTATTTTTCTTTTTCTGCCTGAAATCTCTCTCCTCATCTGATTCCCTGTACTTTTAATTCTCTGCCAGGCAAACTTCAGTGGAATTTTGAGGCCCAGTTTAAATATCATTTCCTTTTAAAAACTATTATTTTCTAGTGAAATTTATTGAATGATGAGTACCAATTTATTAATAAAAGTATTGCTCGAGCGGGCCCTAATGAAATCTTCCATTGTTCATTCAGGCGGAATTTATTATGGACTTTGTGAACTTTTATGATATCTATGAGACTGTACTGTAATCTTATGTGTCTATGCCCCCAGCTAGACCTCTTGTTCATGAGCATAAAAAACCAAGTTTTCTTTTATATCCTAGTGCTTAATTGTGTAGTATCTGATTATGTTTTTACTTTGTGTCATCGTGAATAATCGTTATCATTTGAGAACCTCAGTTTGATCCCCAGAATCTTAAAATAAAACCAAAACCCAAAACTCCCAAAATGTCATTTTTGTTGAATTATTTTCCTTTTTTATTTCTAAATTTAGAGTATAAATTTGTTGTTACTTTGGGGTAAAAATATTTAATAGCTTTGTCCACACTTGCTACAGAAAAAAAGCTGCTTCTGATTGGTTATGAGAAGAATTATATAATCATAAAAGCCAATACATTCTCAACTGCTGAATTGATCAGATAATGAAATGTGTTCTTCACTTTAAAACTCTGTCTTGAGGAAAGTTCATTAGACAACATACAGATTCATTCTCTTTCTCTCTCTCTCTCCCTCCTTCCCTCTCTCCCTCCCCCCATTTCTCTCTATTTTGGGTACCCCTTGTCAGGGCTTACTCCTGGCTCTGTTCTGACAATCTTTGTGCAGTTCAGGACCGTTTGGTGTGCCGAGGAGCAAACCCAGGTTCACCGTATGCAAGGCCAATGCCCTACCTGCTGTACTATTTGCTCTGGCCCTGAGACCTTTCTTTTTGAAATTGGCACATTACTGTTGCTATTTCACCTGCATACTTATCTTTATTATCATTCATTGTATTGAAATTAACTTATTTGAAATTAAAACATTCTTTCTAAACTGTCATATTTGATGTTCCAGATTATTTTTATGGAGGTTGGGTGGGAAATGAATGTAAAAGAGAGAGTGTTACTGAAATTTTAAGGAAAAATGAGTGCCAGTTAAATATACCTATCTATGTTTAGGAAGAAAAAGAGTATGTACAGATATATTGTATAGATATATGGGATTTATTATTATAGTTTTTATAGGGGATGGGAAGAGTAATTATTCACTGTTCTTTAAAGGAGTTATAAATCCTTTGTTTGGTTAATTTCTGTAATGTAAGGGGATTTTGTTTTGAAAGACTCAAAGGTGGAGTACTTTTTACCAAACACTAGAGGGCCTCAGTTGAATGTAAGTATGCTGGGTGGAGCTGTATACCCGCGCTTCATTTTCATGAATTCATTTAGAAGGATTATTTCCTGAGTTTCTAACGGTTAAGTTTCTTACTCATGTAGCAATATAAATACCACTGTTCTAATTCACAATGTAGATGAAAGTTATTGGTTTTCATATTAAAATGCAAGTATCCTCTGTTTAAGCACCTCCTAGCAAACGAGCATATTTTAAGTGTGTAGGAGGTATCAGAAAATCAAGAAAGCTAAGAATTTAACATGAGTTGGAATAAAACACAAAAGTCTGGTTAGGTATCAGGGCTAGATTGATTTTTAAAGGTACGATTGTTTTGTTATTGTTTTTTAAAGCCTTCAATTAGAGTTTTGCCTTCAGGGCCCATTGCTTAATAACAGGGACATCTACTACATTTTATTTATCATTTGTAGATCAAGATTATATTTATAGTCTATTTTGTTCATTTCAGTTAATTTCTGTTCTCCTGGAAAATTATCTGAGTATTAAATAGAATTTCTGGTGTTTCTAGGAAATGTCATTTCTTGAGCTATGCTGATGTAAAATTTTGGCACTATGAAAAGAACTCATGTCCATTTGAAGTGTGAGAATGTAATTTGAATAAGTATTTCAATTAAAATGTATAAATATGTATAGAAAACACCTCCTTGAGTATGACTTTGCATTACATCAAAGGACAAACATTTCATGAAATTAAAGACAGGGATTTAATACCTTCAGAGGTAGGCAAAAACTGGAAATGTTTCTGTATGTCTTAAGGAAAACTGTTTTTAGAATTGCAAAGTTTTAAAAGAGCACTAAATACTTGTCATAGGAACTTAAAATTTTATTTTTGGGGTAAGGGAGGGTTGAGCCATAACTGTTGTGTTTGGGGGCTACACCCCAGCTCTTAGCTCATGGTTTGCTCCTTGTAAAGCTCAAGAAACTGCAATGGGGAATTGTGTTAAATGTGTGTTCAGTCCATCAGATGGTTTCTTCAGCCCTTCACCTAGAATGCACAAGGTAAATTTCATTTTGATATATATTGAAAATTAAAATGGTGAAATTGATGTGATATATATTTATCCTGAGTAAATTAAGATATAAGAATGAAAACACAGTTTGTTATTAAACACTGTACTAGCAAGAGTAGATGAGAATTTAATTAGAAATCAAATTTATTGCTGCATTGCCATTTCTTGGTAGTTTTTTTCTTTTCTTTGTTTCCTCCTCCCATTTGTTTGTACATAATTCAGGAGAAGAAATTAAAATGAGATATTTAGGAATTCTTGTGCTACCAAAGTAATGTCTCTTTATTTTTAAGATTCAAGTTACTATTTAGTAACTTTAGAAAGCATTTTATGCATATTTTAGATAAGTATTATAAAATTTATAAACTTACTGAGTGTGATAATGAACTTTATTAGGAACTCATTTTATTAAAATCTTAAATTTTCTGAAAGACCAGTTAAAAGTTAACTGGATTTTTGAGAGAAGAAAAGTCTTAAAAAGCATTTTAAAAGTAGTGTGTGATAGATATGTAAGCACCACTTTATTAATATTCACTGTAAGGAATCATAATAATACTGGAATAGTCCATGGATGCTCTATATGAAGATATATAGCAGGTCACATGTAAATATCTTAGTCTTACTCTTTATCTACAGAGTAAAAAGATAACAAAATCAATTTTTTGGTTTTTGTGTAGAAATTATCACCAAATATATTAACAAAATTGGAATGTAATTTGTTAACTTTCTGACGTTAAAATTCATATTTAAATTGCAAAAAATGTGCCTTATTTACAAAGTGTAGGTTAAAGTGGCAAACCAATATTCAGAATCAAACATGAGTTACCACCCTTATCATTTTAAAATTTAACCTTATGCTTTCTGTCATTGAATGTGGATGACAGAGAGTCGCCCTCATTTATTTAGAAAATGAGCTGTTTGTCATACTGTTTTATTGTCCTAGCTTTGATCTGAAATCTCTGAAAAGTCATTTACTTTTTTAAAGTTCAGTAAGTTTGAATCACAGAAAGTAAGTATTTTTAAAATCAGGGTAACAGATTTCTTACCTGGGCTGTAGTGATGATCACAGTTTAGAATATTTGTTGTATGAAGTCTTGTGGGTGGTTTGCTGTAGAGTTTTCTGTTTTCTGACTCTGTTACCAGATTTATAGGAACAGTTGAAGTAGGTTGAAGAGTAAAAGTGCTCTAGGGAGGTCTAATGATGTCACACAGGAATTCTGGACTTATGATTGGATGACCATAGTCTTGTTACATGTAAATAAACTCTTTAAAATGTCATTTATCTCAGCTTTAGCTGTTGAAAGGTCATTAACACTTTGTGCTTCATTTTTTTGTTTGTCTGTATAAGCGTAAAGACTTAAAAATAAGTCTGAGATATAGAAAGCCCTCTTTCTAAAGACTTACTTATCTCTGAACTTAGAAGTAATTTTATATTAATGATAATGTTGAAGGACTAAAATAATTTTAATAATATGAGAATAATCATATTGACTTAAGTCAAATAACTTTCATTGAGGAATTGTTGCTGCTATTGTTTGAATGTGGTAGCTTCATAATTTCTTCCAAGGCAATAATTAAACAGTATTAGCTTAAATCTGTATCTTTTCCTGGTTTTAGTTTTTAGTTCTTTTCCCTCAAATCTTTATGTGTACGAGATAGGGAGTGTGTGTGATAAAACAAGCTAGTAACTGATTTTTTTTTTACTGATTTTATAATGTCAAATATAAATATATATTTAACTTGTGTTTTCTCAATCAGGGCTTTATTTGTACACTTATATACAGTAATTTTCATATTTAAACTTATATGTTCCCCAACACAAGTTGTAGCTTTAAATTTAGTATTGTTAACAGCTGCATTAAATTATCATAAAATTCTACTAAAATTTTAGTAAGCTTGTGGCAATACTAAGAATAGCTTTCTAGCAAAAATAAAATAATCACAATACTTAGTGGCTTTCTAATAATAACACATATTGAAATAGCTGTGCTTGTGATAGAAATTTAAGTTGTGTTATATTTCTAAAAGGATGTCTCCTTTAATCCTTCAATTCCTTTTTCAGAAAATGAATACATGAAAGAAGTTTTAAGTAGAATATTTTTAGCTTCTTGGAATAGTTTTATATTTCCGCCATTTTATATATTACTATATTATAGTAAAACTGGAAAAATAATTTTTTTGAAAAGCTGGATATCACTTTTCCTATTTTTCTTCAGTGTATAGTTAGATTTATGTAAATTACTAGACCTAAAATTTCTTCTGTAATTCTGGAGGAGCAATTTGTAAATTCTTAATTTTTTTTATCTTTGCAGCAAAGAGAAATCAGCCTGTTTTACTTTCTGATATGCACCTAAACTGTTACAGCAGTTGGTTATGTATCTTAAATAGAGATGATCTTAACTTATTCAAGAGAAATATATTTTCATTTGATAGTTTTCTCAGGAGCTTAGAGGTATTTTTTCAGTCCTGTTTGAACTTAATATTATTATTACCAGTGATACCTGAAATACAAAACTTAGAAGTTTAAAGTGGTTTATAGTAAGTTTTCAAAATGCACAACTGCCAGTAGTCCACCAGAGGATATGAGTATGAATCTAAGATAATTTCCTGATTGGTTGGCATGTGGCGGGGTCTGGGGGCAAAAATAATTCAAACATAGATTTACTAAAGTAGTACACATTAGCCGTGGAAATTTTAAGTTGGAGATAGAGAATTACTGAAAACTGTTACTAGTTTTAGAAGATTTGCTTTAAGTTTGTCTGCCAGTTACACATTCATCTGAAACTGAACTTTTCAGCTATAGATTTGTTGCAGCCTGAGTACCTTTAGTTCTAACAAAAGAACATTAGTAATACCTAAATATTAAACAAAGAAACCAAGATTCCTGAATAAAATATTCAGTAATCTTATATTTGAAGATTTGCTTCAAGAGTACACACATTTTTTTAATTAATTTTTTTTTTATTTTTAGTTTTTGGGCCACACCCAGCAGTGCTCAGGGCTTCTGGCTTTTCTCAGGAATCATCCTGTCGGAGTTTGGGGGACCATATATGGTGCTGGGAATCAAACCCTGCTTGGCACCAACCACTCTTGAAGATTTTGGCTATAGGACTGAGCTTTTATGTGGGTTGGGGAGGGGAGGTTAAAGGATCCTTGAAACTTTAGTGGAAGGAAGTGGGTTCCCTTGTGGTGTTTGTGGTATTGGAATGATGTATGCATAAAATATATGATTAACAGTACTGTAAATCCCAGTACCTCAATATAAAGTTGTGTTTTATTTTTTGTTCCTGTATTAGAAGTTTTTTTTTTTTTTACAATTCTTTGCTTGTCAGAATCAGAAATTGGAGAATTTAATTTTTAAATCTGTAAGGGTGAGGGAGGAACTTATATATTTACCATTTTCTTTTGTTTAACCTCTGCTGCTTATTATTAGTCCATTTGGAGCTCTGGAATGTTTTATGGTATAGTTTTAGCTCAAACAGAAAGTTGTTAGAAGCATTGGTTGGTTAGTCCTCAAAACCCCCACAACCAGGAGGGTTTGTCAGAACCTTTAGCCATGTGATCTAAGACAAATAGTTTTCCTAATCTGCCTTGTGGAGTGATTTTGTTGGGAATGTTTAATGAAATATGAAGATTGTGTTATGATAGTAGGACTCCCCAGTACAGTTTCATTTTATATTAGTACTTTCTCCTCCTCTTTAGAAAATAATTTTTAATTGAATTTGGATTAAAAAAAAAGAATCCCGTTCTTATTTATACTAAACTCTAAATGTGGTTTATCATTTCTTCAGTTTGATTATAGACCAAAAATTTAAAAAGAGCATGCTGGTAGTTCACCTGGAGGGTTACTATAGCAATTTCAGATACTGTAGATGTATCAGTGCTTTCAGAGAGTATTATCTCAAAGCACTACTTTGAAATTACAAAATTAAACCTGCCTATAGATATTGTTAGTGCATAAATAAAGGAACAGAAATATATTACAGAATTTTAGAAATATTTTAGTATTTTTTTCTAAACCTTAACTTTTTATTTATTAAATTTTTCTTTGGGGACAGCTCTACATTTACAGAATCATTGCAAATATAGTCGAGTTCCTCTGTACCTCATCTGGTTTCCCCTATGAACAGCCTACTAAGTTAGGATAACAGTTGTAGCAACCCCAGCACCACGTGTAGACATCAGAGCACTGCTGAAAGTGATTCCTGTTTTAAAGAACATGCATGTGTGAATGTATGGGTATTTATCTTATGTAGAAAACATTTTTGGGCTGAAGCGATAGCACAGCGGGTAGGGCATTTGCCTTGCATGCAGCCAACATAGCTGACCCGAGTTCGATTCCTCCACCCCTCTTGGAGAGCCCGACAAGCTACCAAGAGTTATCTCGCCCGCACGGCAAAGCCTGGCAAGGTACCTGTGACGTATTCAATATGCCAGACACAGTAACAAGTCTCACAATGTTATTGGGCCTGCTCGAGCAAATCGATGAACAACAGGAGGACAGTGATGGTGACAGAAAACATTCTGAGTATAGTTCATTATGTTTCAGCAGCCTGCCAATAAAACTTCATGCACAAAAAAAAACTAAGAATTCCTATGTTCTAGGATAGCTGTTTTTTTTTTTTTTGGAAAGGGGGAAGACTTAAATTCTCAAATAAGCTAATCCAGACCTCTTGGTTGCTTTTATAAAGGCTCTGTCTTTTTAACTTCCTCTTATCACATTCCTTTATATCCTGTGTTCTGCCCGATACAGCTGCTTATGGCCCTTAGAACAGGTTGTTCTATTTTAAACTTTCCTACTTTTTGTAGGAATGTGCTCCTGACCTACCTTTATTCTCATTAATATTGATTCAATTTAAAAATTGAATTGAGTTGAGCCTTCTATGCTAATGTTTTTGTTAAATGATAGTAGTTGGCTTCTACATTATATTCCCATCTAATCTATTGTGCTCCTACTGGGATGCTGGTATTGTAGAGTTTGGAGATTAGTGTTCCTTAAATACAGAATATTTGACTGAGCAGTAAACTTACATGGTGGCTCTGGTGGAATGTGGGTGTTGATGTCAGGATTTCTGGAATTACCAGGGTGGGGGAAAGTCACGCATCACCACTGTGAGAATCAGCCATAAAAACCCCAGTATACCTGAAATGTTTGGCAATTTGGTGTTTCTGCTGAGCTCAGTTGTTAAGCAGTGAAATCCAGCCATTGGCCTGGGAGCAGCTATTGGGGCGTGAGTGCAGCTGCCAGGGCTTTGTCAGGCGAGGGCTTGGCCTGACCCCTCCTGAGATTGCCCTGGAGGTCTGGAGTCTTAGCTGGGGACTGGTGCATCTGAGAAATTTGAGAAATTTTTGCAGCTAGTAGATCTCTCTCAAGAATTAATCATAAGTATTTGAGACTGGGCCAATAGATGAGCTTACATAATGGTATTGTTAGAATCTGTAGTAGTATTATGTATTGGTGGGAATGAATCTTTGTGTGATTCATAAAGGTGTAACTACTTAATGAGTAAGTAGTCCTGTAGAATTAAGTGTTAGGGACAGTCCAAAAAAGCTTAATTTTCTCTTTTTTAAAAAAAAAGTTTCAGGGCTACACCCAACAGTGCTTCTTAGGGTTACTATTGGCTCTGCACTCAGGAATCACTCTTGACAGTGTTTGGGGGATAGGTATGGGATACCAGGTATTGAACCTGGGTCGGCTGCATGCAAGGCAAGCACCCTACTGTTGAATAACACTGGGTTGTTTTTGCTGCTCCTGCAGGGAGCTTAAAGTTTATTGAGCCACTCTTATAGCAGTGCAACTGAGGCACAACTAATAATTCTATATTGCTTTTCTCCTCTATGTCCTTTGTATGGTTTATTTAGCAGTATCCTTTTTGTATAGACACAAGGAGACAATTGATGCTATGCTATGTAACATGGGAGTTAATTGACTCCAAAATAATATTTACTCCTAGGCATCCATATTTACTTGACTTAAACCTTAGTTGCCCTTAGTTCTTAGCACTCCAAGAGCAGGGTCCCAATGGGGGACCTATGGACCCAGGGCAAGCTGTGAGCTATCCTGGCATCAAAATGGGTCAGGCCAAGCGCCATAATACTTAACTATAAGTTAAGAGCACGGTCATGGACAAACTCTGTCATGACCCAAAAAAGTAACTGAATAAAGACCCAGCTGGGGT